GATCTCAGTTATGCATGGACGGATTTCATTCAAATTTGGTACATACATTAAACATAATAGGACCTTGATGCACGTCATTTTTTTTTCCGGATCAAGTTCGAAATAGCCGACTGGCGGCCATTTTGTTTTAAAGAATTCAGTTCTGGATCCGTATCCGAGACATGTCTGGATTGATCAAGTTCAAACTTCACACACACAAGGTACATCATGTCACAAATATGTATGTGCATTTGTTTCATGATCTCATTAACGATAGCCAAATGGGGGCCGCTTTAAGGCCGAAAATGCATTGAAATCGCACATTTTCACCATTCCGGACCCGTATCTCAGTTATGCATGGATGGATTTTGTTCAAATTTGGTACATACATTAAACATAATAGGACCTTGATGCACGTCTTTTTTTTTTTTCGGATCAAGTTCGAAATGGCCGACTGGCGGCCATTTTGTTAAAGAATTCAGTTCTGGATCCGTATCCAAGACATGTCTGGATTGATCAAGTTGAAACTTCACACACACATGGTACATCATGTCACAAATAGATATGTGCATTTGTTTCATGATCTGCTTAACAATAGCGGAATGATGGCCATTTTAAGGCCGAAAATGCATCAACATCACGTATTTTCACAATTCCAGAACCGGATCTCAGTCATGCATGGATGGATTTTGTTCAGATTTAGCACAATGTGTTGTACATATGCAGGTGCATTTCGGTCATGATCTGCTTTGAATGTATATGTCACTCAAATATGAACGGAACGGGGACGTGTCATTGACAATGACTTGTGTGATATTGGTTGAACCATATTTGATAGTGGGGGTCATTAAGTGATATTGGTGTAATCATGTTTGATAGTGAGATCATTACATGATATTGGTTGAACCATGTTTCATAGTGGGGGCATTATGCAATATCAGTTGAACCATGTTTCATATTGGGGTCATTATGTAATATCAGTTGAACCATGTTTGATAGTGGGGGTCATTATGTGGTATTGGTTTAACCATGTTTGATAGTGAGGTCATTATGTGATATCGGCTGAACCATGTTTCATATTGGGGTCATTATGTAATATCAGTTGAACCATGTTTCATAGTGAGGGTCATTATGTGATATTGGTGTAATCATGTTTGATAGTGGGGTCATTAAGTGATACTGGTGTAATCATGTTTGATAGTGAGGTCATTATGTGATATTGATTGAACCATATTTGATAGTGAGGTCATTACGTGATCTTGGTTGAACCATATTCGACAGTGAGGTCATTATGTGATAACAGTGGAACCATGTTTGATAAGTTTCAGTATTTTTTTTTTGATAAATAAGACATGAAATGACATGACAGATTATTCTTATGGTGACAAAAGGCACATGACCTATCACAGAGATAGTAACTGTTTTGCTTAAAATATGTGTACAATTTTTATTTTCAGTGGGGATGTTAGTCCTCAGCCAGGTGAGTTGAGGAGACATACAGTGATTGCTGACTCGGGGTATCTCACACAAAATGGTGATAAACGATGGTCCAATTCAGAGGTATGCATCATTAACATTTAAATCAATTCTCTAAATCTTGTGCTCTGCAGTAAATTTCATAGGTCTTTAATAATTCACCTGCTCTGCTATATTTACATTAAAACTGCTCTAAACAATATTTTTATTAAAAAGAAAGGTGCTTTCAATGTTTTTGCCTGTATCTATTCATTATTCTTTGTACACCTTTTTTTAACCTCCTCCATCTGATTGCATCAGGATATATAAAACAAATTAGTGTGTGTATGATCAGTAAATCAGCTGGTCAAAACCTCCACCTACATACCAGCTAGTTTGTAACAGTAACAGCAACTTTTCAGTTTTGTTGGGACTACCTGTATTTACATTTTTTCCTCTTACTTGAAAACAAATCTACATCCCCATATGATTAGATGCTAATTCCTAATACATTCATAGTGACTTAACTATAATAAATGAAATGATTAGGTATTGTCTTACTCAACTCTGCAGCCTCGCTTTGAAGAAGATGAAGTTGGTATATTGGCAGATAGGGCATTACAGCAGAAGGAACTAAGACAGGAGAGAGAAAGGGAGTTAAGACGACAAATCTCAGAAAGGGCCCACAAATCATCGTTAGAGAACAATATTGATTATATAGATAATGGGGAAGGTTTACTAGGGGATAGAGATTTTGGTAATCAGCCGGATGATGAATTTACCAAAGCAGTTTTTGAGGTATTTCTTATCATATTTGGTCCACCATATCTTGACTCATTCCATATATATCCAATTAGAATATTTCTCTCCGCTTTCTACTTTCTCTTCTGCTTCACTTTGTTTTACAGAATTGTACTTGTGGTTGTTTTTCTTGACTTGATGGAAAAACACTGATTGATTTAGTACTTCACTCGCATGTGGTAATGTTCCTCTGATGTAAATACACGGTATTATATCACTAACAAGTAATTTGCTGTGAAGATAGTGTGTATGAGTGCACAGAGTGAAGTGATCAGATAGTGTGATTGAAGTGTGTATGAGTGCACAGAGTGAAGTGATCAGATAGTGTGATTGAAGTGTGTATGAGTGCACAGAGTGAAGTGATCAGATAGTGTGATTGAAGTGTGTATGAGTGCACAGAGTGAAGTGATCAGATAGTGTGATTGAAGTGTGTATGAGTGCACAGAGTGAAGTGATCAGATAGTGTGATTGAAGTGTGTATGAGTGCACAGAGTGAAGTGATCAGATAGTGTGATTGAAGTGTGTATGAGTGCACAGAGTGAAGTGATCAGATAGTGTGATTGAAGTGTGTATGATGCACAGAGTGAAGTGATCAGATAGTGTGATTGAAGTGTGTATGAGTGCACAGAGTGAAGTGATCAGATAGTGTGATTGAAGTGTGTATGAGTGCACAGAGTGAAGTGATCAGATAGTGTGATTGAAGTGTGTATGAGTGCACAGAGTGAAGTGATCAGATAGTGTGATTGAAGTGTGTATGAGTGCACAGAGTGAAGTGATCAGATAGTGTGATTGAAGTGTGTATGAGTGCACAGAGTGAAGTGATGTTTTCATATACATCTGTAAATTGTAAGGCTTTATGAATTCTAGATTCAATTTTGCATGCATATTTATTAACCTGTAAACAGGTGATTTGTGTTTATTCTTGATTGGACTTTGTTTGATGTTTCTGCTGTAGGAGCTTGCTAAACAGTCAACAGAATGGTCAGCGGAAGATGAGCAGTTGAGATTACAAGAAGATAGAGAGAGAGAAGAGAGGAGGCGGGCTGCAAAGAAACTGCAACAGAATCAAGAAAGAATTATACAGGAACAAATGAGAGATAGAACAAGGTGAGTAATGTAAAAACGTGTTTTTATGACGTTCAACCAAAATTCTACTATATATTTGCTATGGTTTACATAACATACCAATAAGGGTTTTATTGCTGATTCAAAATAATTTTTTAGTCTCCGTTCGGACACAGTCCGAAAACGGGGACTTATGTTTTGACCTCCATGTGTCCGTGCGTGCGTCTGTGCATGCTTCTGGACCTGTATCTTAGAACTGCCTGAACCAATCACAATCAAACTTCACACATACATCATACATGATATTATACATATGCACATCAATTTGTGTCACGATCTGATTCAAGATGGCCGAATGGCGGCCATTTTTGTGCTAAAAATCATCAAAATCAAGCATTTCTCGGCTGTTTACAGATGGATTTTGTTCAAACTTGGTATATACATTAGACATTATAGGACCTTGATGCACATCATTTTGTTTCACGATCTAATTCAAGAAGGCCAAATGGCGGCCATTTTTGTGCTAAAAAATCCTAAAAATCAAGCATTTCTTGGCTGTTTACTTGGCTGTTTTGTTTTAATGAATGTGGCTCTCGTGCCATATTCCTGACATGGTTATATTCCAGCTATATTACTATAAACAAAACTATATATCTTAAATTTGAGAACTAACTGGGACTGTGCCATGCATGGCTTGTCTTTCTATGTTGCTCTACATTACACCTGCTTTTGTTAGCTCCGCTGTCGACTTTGTTGAGCGGAGCTTATCATATGAGTGATTGTCCGTTGTCCGTCGTCCGTGTCAATGTTTTACATTTTCAACTTCTTCCTGAAAACTACAAGTCTGAATGCTTTGATACTTGGTGTATCAGACCTTGGGTAGACCTCTCTCAGATTTGTTCATTTCATGATCATATCTTCAATTCTCTAATTTTGGTGAATATTTTTGTCATTTTTGGTAAAAAGGGATATTTTCGACTTCTTGTTAAAAACCGCAAGTCCAATTGCTTTGATATTACATATATAGGTACTACATGTGGATCTCTCTCAGATTTGTTCATTTTGTAATGATATCTTTAATTCTCTAAATTTGGTGAATATTTTTGTCATTTTTGGTAAAAAGTGATACTTTCGACTTCCTGTTAAAAACCACAAGTTCAATTGCTTTGATATTACATATATAGGTACTACATGTGGATCACTCTCAAGTTTGTTCATTTCATAATGATATCTTTAATTTTCTAATTTTGGTGAATATTTTTGTCATTTTTGGTAAAAAGTGATATTTTCAACTTCTTGTTAGAAACCGCAAGTCCAATTGCTTTGATATTACATATATAGATACTACATATGGACCACTCTCAAATTTGTTCATTTCATAATGATATCTTTAATTTTCCAATTTTGGTGAATATTTTTGTCATTTTTGGTAAAAAGTGATATTTTCAACTTC